CATACATTTGGTCATTAGTTTAGGACCACTCACAATAAATCCTACAAACAAAGTAAGTACATTCCAGAAACTTACTAAAACATATCAAAACATTAAAATATAATTAGAGTAATATATATTTTCTGCTTCAAGATGGGCAGGGGAAAGAATTTGAGTCATGAACTTTGTCAAAAAATTGTAAGTCTTCGTAGTAAAAATATCATCTATGCCAAAATTGCAACAACATTGGGGTGCAGCAAAACATCATGTATTCGTGCAGTGAAGCTATGGGAAGAAACTGGATGTCTTTTGGATCAGCCTAAACCTGGAAGACAGAGAAAAATCACCAAATGCACAGATCGTAGAATTCACAGAATAGAAAAAAAATCACACACTAACATCAACTGATCTCAAAATTAAAATGATAAAATGTGGAATGCCTGAACTTAGTATATGTACCATTAGGTGTAGATTAAATAAATTTAATGTATTTGGGTGAGTTGTAAGGAAGAAGCCACTCATATCACTGAAAAATAGACAAGCTCGTCTGAAGTTTGCTTTTGAACACTTGACTTGGACAAGTCAAAACTGGCAGTGTGTGCTGTGGTCAGATGAAACAAAGATAAATTTGTTTGGGAGTGATGTCGCAAATACATAAGATGACAAAAAGCTGAGGAATTTCATCCTAATTGTATTCAACCCACTATAAAGTTTGGAGGTGGAAATGCAATGGTGTGGGGATGTTTTTCTTTGTATGGAATTGGACCCATTCACCTCATAAATGGGATAATGGACAGATTTCAATATAAACAAATTCTGGAAGACATAATGCTGCCATTTGCTGATAACAATATTTGCTTCTGGAGTGGATTTTCCAACAAGACAATGATCCAAAGCACACCAGTAAACTTGTCAAAAATGGTTTCAGGACAACCATCTTAAGGTAATGGAATAGCCAGCCCAATCACCAGATTTAAACCTTATTGAAATGTTATGGTGTGATGTAAAATCTGCTTTGAAACATAAAAAATACCAGAATAGAAATGAGCTATTTGTGGCAATTCAAGAAGCTTGGAAAAACATCCCAGCTGATCGTTTGCAATGATTGGTGGACTCCATGCCCCGTCATTGCTTATCTGTGATAAAAAATTTTGGTTATCCAACAAAATATTAGTTTTTTCCTAAATTTTGTTATTGGTCCTAAACATTTGTCTAGGGACAAATTGAACTTGTTGCACATCATCCATTGCTTGAGTAAAAGTAATGTTTTGTTTATGAAATAAAAGTTATAATTTTATCAAATGAAAACAAAGTTAATATTTTTCCTGAATTTTAGATTTCATTTGTTTGGTTTTAGATTCCACACAACTCAGTTTCGAAAATAATTGTTAACGGTTTTAAACAATTGGCCACCACTGTATCTCTCCAAAATTTTTGGCAGCTGTTCTCTCTTCCATGTTTCAAGTTACCTTGTCTACATTCTTGCTTTCTCCACCTACAGTATTGTATATTAAACCACATCTCTCTTTGAATTTTGCAAGCCATCCATTTGATGCAGTAAATTCCTTCTGGATTTCCTTTTTGCCACTACAGCTAAAGCTATCTAGAGAACAAAAACACCATTAATGCTAACAGCCCCTGCATATGCTTGATGAATCCACCTGACCAAAATAGATTCAAGTTCCTTGAATTTGCTATCTCTAATCTTGTTTTGCTTTGCTTCTGAGTCATTGGATTTTTTTGCTTTCTCATAAAATCTTCTCTGTTCTTAAAAATCATATTGACTGTCTGTGTAGGCAGATTAAACTGCTTAGCGATATCAACTTGCTTTGTTTGAGGATTGCTTTCAACCTACTTTATGATTTGGTCCTAAAAAGCTTGCAATATGGAATGATTACAAAGCTGAACCTTTACCACATGAGAAAAACATCTGACATGACAAAGATTACGAATCTAGCTTGCATTACCATATGCTCCTACCTTTTCTTTCAAGGTAATAGCATGACATTTCTGGGCTTCTTTTGGTAGCATCATCAATATGAAATGTCATTGTTAAATGAGCACAACAATGCGATTTCAAGGTGTTAGCCTGAGCTGCCATATGCCTTTGCTGCACACACATGCATATCTGGAAGCATCCCAACACAAATCAATGTACAGTATTACAGGAGGACACTTACACATGGTGGCAATATTAACCATGATGATTATACATATAATTTGCTCTGTGTGCAATGTATTTTTTAAATTCAGTACCCAAAAATACCCAAATATTAATTAAATGTTGAAAAATTCAATGTTTACAGTAAATGAGACTAGAAAAAAAAATCCATTATTCTGAGTTATGGATCTACTAAAAGGAGATTGGACTATAATGACTGCTAGAGATATAATAAAAGTTTGTAGTGCTATGCACTTTTTTCTTGTAAATTATATTTTTGTTTTGCTTATTTTTTTGTTATACGTGTCGGGTTTTGTTATTTTTGTAATGCGTGAATGTCATTTTTCCTTTGTGCGCACCACCTTTTGTGAGGGGGTGACTAGTGGACTGTTGGGTAGCTGTTCAAGAGACCATGTGACAGGAGGCGGGAGATCTGAACAAAGGGGAGATATAAAAGGGTGACCCCACAATGGGAGAGGATCTTTTGTTTTCTATAACCTGCGTGTACTGGAAGAACTGTTACAAGACCAAGGACGAGGAGAAGGAAGGTAAGGATTGCCATATACGAACGATATATGAGCTGGGAGAGATCGAAGGGGAAGGAAAGAAAAATCCAACTGCATGAACATGTGAATGATATGGGGAACAATATCTCCAATTATAGAAGAGAAAACTTCATGGGTTAGAAATCCTTGCTGCATTATTTTGTGATAAATAACATTTTCTGACACATGATTATCAATCCCTTTTGTTATTGAATATGGACTATATCGTTGTTATGAAGAATCATGTGTAAGCAGATCGACAACATGGACTCTCCTGTAATTAACTGTAAAATTTTAACTATCAGATTTGTAATTAGTGAGCCAATTGTACCAATCAGGTATTATTAATTGCTGCATGATCGGTAATTATTGAATTGCTAATATTATCGATTGCTATATGTACACGTGTATAAATTGTTATAATTTGTTTATGATTATCTATTGGCTCTGAGGTGTATTGTGAGGTCCTCAGACAACTCTTACTCCACATTAAGGTTGGGATTATTTTGGTACTCCCCCTGATCTACAAGTTCTACACTGTGCATAACACAACAGAAATTAGATTTCCGAAGTTGTCAGGAATTTATAGGAGATGCAGTCATTAACTTCAGGGATACAGATTTATTTCCATCAGTTTGGAAGATCCATGTATTGTCTTATGTGGCATACAAAACTATCAAGGTGCCCAGTCCACCAATAAACAAGCTTCTGTATTTTGAATAAAAGTGTTCCATCTTGTGCAGTTTAGATTTAGAATGTTAAAAGCCTGAAGATGTCCATTTAATATGGAGGAAAATGTTTGCTGTTGTGAGTTTTTTATCATTTCTGCTGGTTTTTTGATTTTAGGATGGTAGTTTATTTAAGATTAACCAGTTTTTAGTAGTCATTATTTATATAATAAAAACTGTTACCATATTTTTGCAGATTGTTCAGTATGTTGGTCGATCTGGGGAGACCATGAAATTAGATATTTCCATATGGTAAAACCTGGCATGTCAGTTTATCCCAAGGAAATGCCGGCATGCTGATTTAAGTGAGGTTATACATCCCTTTCTTGAGGGTGCATGAAAAAAACAAAAGAGTTTTTACTCAAAAACTGTGAAACTGTCAGCAATACATCAAACACTATGATTATATGTTTAATTTCTGCATTTCATCTTTTTTCTAACAATGTAAAATATTTGTGGAATGCCAAAGATGCGTTTTTATATTTATTTTATTGTAATTTAATCAAAAAACACAAAAATAAACATCAAATTTTAGAAACTGACTGTAAATTATTTCAACTTATTGTGTGAAATTTGAGAGGAAGGTGTTATTTTTAAGGTCAGTAGATTGTCAGTGCAGTCCACACTGACTAACTACTAATACAACTAATGTCAATAAGCTGTTAATTGTTTTATTTTATTGTAAACAAAAACAATGTTAAATCCATCAAATTACAATGTTGTTATTTTATTGTACTGGAAAGAATGTTTTCTTTAACATTTATTTGACAACTAGTTTTGCTAGATCTGATTTATTTTAATTGTAGTTTAACTGGAATGCTGGTAACTACCCCAGGGTTTCCGGCATGCTGGTCTCCCCTAGTTATGTGGCATGCTGGTCAGCATACGGTAATGCTGGTACCGTATTACAAAAATATGGTAATATTGTGTTGTATCTTCATATTCACAATACAGATTTCTGTCTCATACCATAAACATAAGATAAATATTTTATGTTTAATTTCTGTTACTTTAATATTCCAAACTCCCAATTATCCATGCTAATTAGTGTATGGGTGTTCACAGAAAACCAGAAAACATGGATAATCAAAAATAACCCACTAAATTATAAAAAAAAAACTATTCAGAGCTTTTAAATGAATTGCGGTATATATATATATATAGTTTAACTCTGTCTTAAGGCAATAAAGTGTGAATCCCAAGTTTCATAAGCTGAAATGTATATGTTTAATGTTTAATCAATAAACATAAAATGTAAGTTTTTTCTATTTTCAAAAATATCATGTAGAAATGTAAATTTTACATTTCTATGTATAATTCTTACATTTTTTCCAAATTATTGTATTTTAATTTTAGGATTAGTAAGATATTTTTTTCAAATCTGCTGTTTATAGCACCAACTTTGCCTAATGAAAAATAATATTCCTGAGCTAACTTCCATCCCTTAGAATTGACAGTTGAGAGAGGGGAAAAAAAAGCTAAATGTTGCTTTTGTGATTTTACAATGATTAATTTGCAAAACAGATAATTGGGAATTTGGTGTATTTTGGCTTTTAATAAAATTTTTAAAACACAAAATAAACATACGCTAATTTCAAATTTGTTGATGATGATATTATTTCTCTTGTATCATTTTTTATTTCTCCACATAATTCTAATGGTTGCTGCCCAAGATCTTGCCAAACTCTTACAACTGCTCCAGGACAACCTCTTACTAAAAACAGAAAATAAATGATTTAATTATTTCAAAAATTTTATTATAGATTGAAAAAATTAAAATTGCTATTATTTATGTTATGGTTAAATTGATAAATCTGATGAATATTCATAAAAACCAGATTTATCAATTTAATCATAATTCTAGTGAGTATTCTACATAATAACCAACAATTTTGGTGAATGTGATAAATTATTTGTGTTTTTGTAAAATTAGTCATATTAACCTATTATGGGACCATTTGGAAACCAAATGGAGACCATTTGGGTGCCCCTCTGCGAGTGGCACCCGATGCATGATACACCCGCTTGCACCCCCTCGCTATGCCACTGCCTACAAAGTCTGTCCACAAAAGTTGCCTCCAAAGTGTCCTAAAATACTGTGCCTCTGTCGATATCAACATACAGATACCTATTATGCCCAAGTTCTTGATTTATTCTACACCTGTCGGATACCTCTCTCCGAAGACCTGCTACCCAAACAATTCGAATAAAAAGACCCTTCGACCACCTGAAGAATCCACCAAACACCCAAAGAATTCTGTGTTTGAGTCATCGAGTCATCCATCCTCAACTTCTTAATAAGGTATTTATTTATCCACATGCCAGTCGTTTGTAACTCTCTTTTGTAACTTTCATTTTACAAGAGAAAGTACCTGATGTTATTGCATCTCTTCATAACTATGCCAGAAAATTGTCTATCACAGGTGGTCAAGGATACAAGAGATGCAACTGTATGGGGAAAATGCTTTTCAACAAAATATCACCACAAAAGGCATGGAGCACTCTTTAATTCAAAATGTTACAACAGTTGGTCCTGTTCCAACAAGCAGGAAGTTGTCCTTTAAAAATATATAATAATAAAAATATTCCATATGTTATAATTTATTACTTTAGCCTGAAAGGTTTGGTTGTTATGGAGAATAACCAATGAAAATAATTAAATGCATTTTATATATACTGTATGTATCATATTAATCACAAATATTTATGTTTGTTCATTTCCGAATGTTCCGGCCATAAACAAATCACCGATTATTTTAAAAAGAATAATTTGTAAAATTAACATGTATTATACATTTTAATGTATATTGCTTATACTGTACATATACTGTAAATACAAATAATCATATAATATGTCAGCAAAGAAACAATAATACTACATACATACAAGAAAGACATTGGCCGTACATGAAGTGTTTAGCCGGCAGAAAAGAGGATAAGGGAGGGGGAGAGGAAGAAGGAGGGAGAGGAGATAGACAGCAGAGAAAGGTAGGATACCTCTGAATGGTGTACATATGGCTACAGTACCCTCTGTGTTTGATGTTGGCATGCAGATTTTATGCTGCAAGGCTGTAGTCCCCCAAAGGGTCTAAAAGTAAACTTGAGTGTAGCAAACACCAATAATTGAGTGCCGCCACGAATAGCTAAGTGTAGAAGTTAGTGCCAAGTGGCTGTTAGTAGGAAGACTTATATCTACTTAATACTAATAAAATTGAACGTGATTGCAAATCTTATTACTACTTAATAGCTAGACAGACAGCGTGAAAAGGAAATGAACACAATGACAAACTAGACAAAATGAATGGACCATCAGAGACAAACACGCAAGACCCCAATCTTTTTTTTTTTTGGTTTATTATTACAGTATTATTTTTATTTTTTATTTATTTATTTTTTTTAACATTAACTTACTCACTAACTGGACTAACCTACCTATGACGAACCTAACCATAGAACTAAAGCTAACAAACCCTAATCTAATTTAACCTAACCTATCATATCCTAATTGGAAACCAAGCTAAGAGCTAAGAGTCCCTAATCTAACTTACAATTAGGACTAACCGAATTTAGACTGAAAGAGAAGACAGAAAAAAGAATTAAAATACAAAGTTAAAAGGCAGCTATATACTGACAGTTGAAACAAAGCAAGAAAATGCTAATTGCCATCCGTGCCTCTGGAGTGAGTGTTCTCAAGAGCCCCACTAAGGGATATAAATGTGAGTAGATAATGGAACATTGTACGTGTGTGAATGAGTTGGCGTGGATTGCTAGGCCAGTTGTACCCTTCAAGAATAGCAGGTCTCATTAAACTATCCTTAATGTGATTGTACCTATTGCAGCGAAAAACTAAGCGAAGTGGTGTTTGGTCCTCCTGAATACCACAATCACATTGTGGATTGTCCCCAAGGTTAAATCTATGCAAGTATTGCTTAAAGTTGCCGTGTCTTGTGAGTAGCTGAGTGACGGTGTAACTAGGGTAAAAGTGGTGAAGAATCGCAGTAGTGTCAACCTTGGGGATGAAAGTGTAGGTGAGCCTACTAGTGGTGTCATGGTCCTAGCTGTCCCAGAGAATGAAGATTCTTCTTGACATGATTGTTGATGTATGAGATAGGAATGTAACTGAAAGTACTAGTGACTGAAGACTTTGCAGCTTGTTTAGCAAGATGGTCAGCGGTCTCGTTGCTGAGAACTCCCGCATGACCCAGGACCCATTTGAAATCTATTCTAATGTTGTCTAAGTGTCTGAGAATGTGGTTTATGAGATGGACAGTTTTAAGCAGCTATCAGACTTCGTAATCCTGTGTTAAGCTACCCTACTGTCAGAATAAATGCGATAGTGTAAGTAGTGTCTTTTGTCCTTCCTATGCCTAATGTGAATTAAGCTCATATAAATAGCTAAAGTTTCCGCCTGTGCTATTGAGTAGTGTGAACCTAGATGGAAGCATGCATTGTGAAGCTCATGGCCTCATGTCAAAGTAAACTACAAAAGCGACACCCACATCGTCACCCATCTTGGAACTGTCACTGTAAATCTTAAACATGGGATGATCATCTGGATCTTCAAAGTAAACATATATATATATACTCGTATATATGCAATAATACTACAGCAATTATAAATTCTTACTTAAGTATAATAAATTCCTGATTAACCAAGGTTCTGAATTACCTGAGGCAAACCTGTAAAGCACTACTTTTTTTATAATTTATAAAAGATTTATCTTGAAACCATATATTGTACCAATCAACTAGCTGATATTGAAAATGACTTTTTAAAAAAAAAATACTTTTGCTCTTCTTTCTGAATTTTGAATTAAATAATAGTTAATTTATTGAATGTCTTGAAGACAACCATGTATATAAATACTTAGGTATATATCAAAATACAAAGATCAATTATTCAAAATTAAAATAATCATTTAAAAAAGGATATACAAACAAAGTTAAAAATAATTTAAAACCAGTGCTTTCGGAAAAGCAAAAATAAGTGCAGTAAATATATATGCATCAATACTGTTGATATATTCTTTTGTGATTTAAAATGATCTGAAACAGACCTAGATGGCTTAGATGGAAAAAAAAGCAATAATGTTTAAATGTAGAAATAGGCAAGCAAAAAATAGTGTTGATCCAAGGGTAAATGGTGGGTTCAGATTAACAAATTTAAAATGGCGATGTTGTAATATGATTACCATAATAAACCTAACATAATAATAATAATGATAAAAGATTATAAAGTTTCCAACAAAAATATATTAGCCCTACAAGAGGCAGTGCAGCTGGGTGCCAAGCTGGGGCAATGAAACCAATTTTTAGCATAAATTTATAAAAAAGCAAATGTTTTTGACCATGTTAAACAGATATCTTCAAGTTAACTGATTTTTACAGCTGTTAAAACAAGAAGATTGCCATCCATATTTTAAGAGGGGTGACATAAGAAAGAGAGAGGGAAGGGGAGAGGATTGTAAGGTTAAAGATCATAGATTGTAAATTTATGTTGGAAATTGATTTCATTTGTTTTGATCATTGTTATTTGTATAAGCAGGGTCTCTGAAAGAGGAGACCAAAATAGTGTTTGCACTGACAACCAGTCTACAGTCTCTTGGGGGCCCTGTGATTAGCACAATAAATATCTCATGTCAAAAACCTTAATACTTTAACAACTTTACAACAATTAAAATATTTAAAATAAAAATTCATAGATATAATAATAAAATCTTGGTACTACTACTTGTAGTACTACCAAGATTTTATTGATTATTGATATACTATATGATTATTTGTTTTTAATTTTTATAATAAATAAATAACTTATAAAATAAAATAAACTTACCAAACGGATCACCTTCTATTAGAAAACTGTCAAAGAATAAAAGTATTCTATGATTAGGACGAACAGTAATATGCCATTTACAAACTTGACGATGTGATTCATATTTTGCAGGAAAACCTGGACTTGTAATTACACCATCTTCTTGTCCACTTATATTTTGTCCACAATCTTAATTTGGAAATGAAATTTATTTATTTAAGCACATCAATTAATTTTATAATAAATTCCTAAATAGTTACTTAAACAGTGATACCCTGTATTTCAAATGTTCCGTAGTTTGAACACTAAATCTGAGAGAAATTCATCCTGGAGTTCAAATAATGCTTCTATGTTCAAACCACAAACATAACAAAAAAATGAACTTACTGTGTAAGTGCCATCTGTTGTGTGCCCAAGTTGTTTCTAGTTCTTGCTGTGAAGTATCTCTTGTGTTATGCTCATATATTTTTAGTGCTTTTTTGCTTTATTTTTGGTGTGTTTGGTCACATATATAACCCTTACTCATTAACCATGGCATTCAAGAAGCATGGAAGCAACAATGCCTAGGAAGAAAGTTAAAGTATCAATGAGGTGAAAAAAGAACTTATCTCAAAGCATGAAAGTGGTACATGTGTGAAAGATCTGGCAGCCATGTTTAAGATGCCTAAGTCAACTATGTGCACCATTCTTGAAAGCAAAAAGCAATAAAAATAACAAATGTAGCTGAGGTTTGACAACACTAACTTCCATATTATGTGTTACTAGCAGATAAGCCCTGCATTGCTCAGGCAAATAGTAACGATAGCGAAGGTTAAAATAATTACATTAGCCAATCACAATAACCAATCTTGCCCGTTTTCACAGAATGCAAGAATTAGGTCCCCCATTTCCAGACTAAGTAGAGAATTTTTACATGGTCTAAAAATACGTTCGATTTCCCACAAAAATGCAAAAACTGCATCTGCGCACGTAAATCTTGCATGCTGTTTTCTCTTAACACTTCCATTGTTACTCAACACTTCCATTCTTAACACTTCCATGTTAACACTTCCATTGTTAAGGAATACACTTCTTTCATCCCCATGGTACCCTACTAAAACGCAGTCTAAAGTGCAAAAAACCACATCTAAAATAGTACAATAGAAGCCGAGTTCTTCAGGGTAAGCCTTAATCCTCTCCCTCTCTCCCATGGGGGGATTTTGAAAAACCCCTTCTTAGTGTCTTCATTCTTGTGACATACCCTAACTGTGTACCAAATTTCAACTCCTAACCATTTGGGCTCTGCACTTACTATTATTATCAACCCATCTCAATTATATATATATAGATTGAAGAGATGGAAAAACTCCTCCTAGTGTAGATAAATGAGAAGCAATTGGCTGATGATATCATCTCTAAGAGAATTATTTGTGAGAAATCCAAGCAAACTGCATAGTGACCTTAAGAAATGGGACATCATCACTCCTCACTAAGGTAGAGTAAATGCAATTTTCATTTTATTATACAGTATTTACATATTTTATTTATTGTTTTCATGTTTTAATTTATTAGGACATTTAGTCGTGTTTTTTTATACCTTAAATTATGTGTATTTGCTGTTTAAGTTTATCAAAATGGATATTGTTTAGGGTCTGGAAATGGGTTAATTCACTTTCCTTTGTTTTTTCTAATGGGGAAAAGTAATTTGGAGTTCAAACAATTCAGAGTTTGAATGGCCTCCTGGAACAAATTAAATAGAAGTACAAGGCACCACTGTACATAAAATAAATTAATTAAATTCAGCAAGGATTAAAAATGCATTTTAAAAAGTTAACATTATTAAAAATTGATTAAATACTCTTAATTTTACTATTCTAGACAGATCATCAATAGTAATAATTCTGATTAAACATCTGCTTTTTTTTATTCAATTAATTTGTCCATTATTAAATTTCTCTCTTTGCTTATATATATTAATAACAACTCAAACGGTTGAGTCTCATTCTCTCATTGAGTCAATAAATAAAATTTCTACTCAACAAAATTTTAAAACTGATTAAATGTCAACAAGGCAAATATTATAATAATTTACATAATAATAATTAATAATATTTCTATTTGCTTTAATAGAGTCAAAAATTATTATGTATCTTAAATGGAGTATATTAATGTTATTGTTATTTAAAATTGTAAATATATTGTCTACTACAGAAATTTGAAAATAATGAGATTTTACAGCCAAGATAAAAAAAAGTAAAAAAGTATATCATGTTTTTGTGTATATAGCCTGCAAGTTATCTATGTTTAAGAAATAATTTGAAAGAGAGTACAAGTTATGTAATGGGGTGGGTTATGTACCAATTTTAAACTGCAATTATGAACTTTCTCCTACGGAAAAGTCATTGCTCTGTAAGTATGGGATATATGTTAGAGTTTTATTTTCATTCTAACAATTTTAAATGGGATATGCAACATTATAGATTGTATGCATGAAAATATTATGTAATCTCAAATTTTATAAACTAGATATTTAATATTTTGAAAGTATCTATCAATTTTTTGTTTCATACTTTTCAGGTTGACAATAATCACAATACTAAACAATGGTATTTGTTATATATGGTATTTAAAAATATTATTTCTGTTAGTAAGGACAACTTATTTCAGGTAGCTCACATTTTTAGATTTATTTTTCTACAGTTTTATTTGACTTAATTATTTTTTAATTCATAAAATAAAAAACAAGAAAAATAATATATATTTAATAAAAAATATATGAAATAAAACACTAATTGCCATAGTTTATCTTACAAGTTAATTTCAATCCTTATAAATAAAGTGATACTAAATTTAACACACAGGTAAACTTTAAACTGCAAATAAAGCCAAACAATTCAAAATATTAAAAAATTTCTAAATCATTGATAGCAATTTGATAAAGTACAAATCTTCAACTAGATTTAGAAGTCATTTAATTGTGTGATGTGAGTACCTTCTGGAAATCAGGACTGACACCACCTGTGAATTTTGGCTCACAGGAACTGTTTGAACCACATGAGCAGACTGTAATGTGGGATTTATGGGTAAAGGACAGAAATAAGAGATAGGGAACCCTGGAAGCAATGCACTAAACAAAAAAAATATAAATGAAAATAACTAGGTTTATTTAACAGGGTTATATAAAATTATAACTATATATAATAAGTAATACAAACAAAAATAATTCAATATGAAATAATCGAAATACCTCTAATGATGGCCCTTTCTTAAGCCTGATACTATCTTATAAACTAGTTCCACCTAACTGCAAGAAAAAGTTTACATTCATTTGTGGGCTGATAAATACCTCAATGGTTGGTGAATTGATGTCTCCAGAATGCAAATTTCTGTCTTTAATTAATGGTGATGATTACTTGGCAATGGATAAAGAAATTAAATTGCTACACATTTTTAAAAATTTCTCCGAAATATCTGTAAATTGGTTGACTATTTTTAATAAAATCACAAATGCATGCTTAGAATTTCTGTTCTTTGAAATTGTGGCAAAATGATGTGATGCTCTCTCTCAAAATTTGCAACCAAGATATGAATCTTGTTTGTTAACATTCAGCATGTTTTTCAAAATGGCTACATGTGATTTTAATGTTCTACCAATGGTACTTTGGAATGGAACATGACTTTTTCCACACATTATTTTCTTAAAACTTTTATACTGACCTAAAAATTAAATTTCCTTAAGCAGACAGTGGCAAAAAACATATTGAGAGTTACAAATGATTTATGAAGTTTAGGTTTATAAAAACCAATGTTCAATGTTTTTAAGAATATTGGGAATATGTTAACCAGGAAGATGTTCTATTAGATAGCTCTGTATTATAATTAAAGGAAACAAATTGATACATAAAATAATGAATAATGCTATATTAACTGAAGTCATTAAATAATTTATACTAAAATTTTAATCAACTTCTATGATACTATATTCATTTTACTAAATTTGTTTTTCTAATGAATAAATGGCCATGGGGTGGTGTTTCTGTTGGGCCTGCCAGCTTTGATTCAGTATCTTTGAAATGGATCAAAGTAGTTGTGTGTAATTTATACTTACTTGTAAGGTTATTCTAGTCACAATCTGTGAAAGCATAACTTGAATATTTGATATATTTAACAATTATAAATTTGACACTTTTCTATTTCAGATTTATAAATTAATTTTATAAAGTCTTGAGCTATTTTCCTGAGATATAAGACAAGAAAGTTTTGAAACTTCCTGGAAATTTTCAGATCAGAAACCATAATATATATGTATATTGTATAGTATAAAGAAAGAAAAATATAATTACCTTCAGGTTTATTTGTTCCATTAAAGAAAGTATATGTAGCACTAAATCCACTAGCTACACCTTCATTATCAGTTGATAAAAGCATTTTCATAGAATAAACCCCAGGATCTGATACCACAGGTCCTGGAGTTGTACTGCCACAATATCTACCTAATTTCTGTTCTCGACCACTTGGTAAAATTTCATAAATTTCTAGCCAATCTTCCTCACATTTTTCGCTACATAGAAAAATTTAAAATTATTATTCATTTACAAAATTTCAACAGTATTTATAATTTTGCAAAAAATTTAATTAAACAATTTTTATTTGGAGATTATTCAGTTAGTAAGTTTAATTAAATGTAATTTTTTTGTATAATTTGATTTAATAAAATTGAATTAGTTATATTTTCTATTAATTAGAGAATTGCACAAGTTATTTTGACTGAAGTCATAATAAGTCATAGTAGTTATTAATTTGTAAATAAATTAAACTTTCTATTAAACACATTTGTAATAGTTTTCTAATTAAAAAAAGCAATTTAATTAGATAAATTAAAATCTTATTAATTTTAGAATTTGAATACTAAAATTCAAATTTATATACTCATTAAAATTTACAATCTAATTAAAATACTAATCATTATCTATTTTTTATAAATGAAAGTAGTTAAGTTTCTTAAAGAAGTATTTTCTATAGAAAAGAAACAGTGTAGAGCTCTTAACCTGTAATTTTGAAAAAAGACAATTGCCAAAATTTTAATTGAAATGTGGTGTTTTGGCATTTTTAATGAGATTCTGTAGTACAAGGCATATAGAAAAGATAATCTTACTTAACAATTTATTTTATTGCACCTGTTTTGTACTTTTGATCATTTTGTACTCATTATACTTTTTGACTCTCTGCCCTGTGGACAGTAAAAGGGCCTTTTAATCTAGATCATAGTAAGTTTAGCCAGTTGGTGAGGAATGGGATTCAACATATCTGGATGGATCAAAAAGTTTCTTGAGTTTTTCTCAACCACCTGAATTCATTCCTGGGTCCCACAGTGCAGTAAGTTGATAGGTGTATTAGGTGGAGTATTTGGGAATGGGAATTGCATTTATGTTATATGAACACAATTGTGATTCCCAAATATAGGATTAGAACCCCAAATGGTTTATTAATTCTTCTCATGTGTTTGCATATACACTTTTTTCATAAACATTATTCCTTAACTTAAAAAAACTTTAAAAATTTTATTTATTTTTCTTTGGCTGTCAAAGGAAGCTAAAGAAAAATCACAGACATTTGATTGATTGTCAATCAACTACAAAAAAGGGTTAATGGATTTGTAGTTGTATGTCTGGATGGCTGAACATTAAAATGTCAGCATACTTTCCTAAGAGACGAAGACGGTGTGGCGCCCGTCGGCTACGGGCCGATTCTGCCGATAGAGGGCGCAAGAAAAATAAACGTGAACTTTGAACTGGTCACTCACTCCCGACCAACAGCCACTGGATACGGACGCTACCAAAACGACTTAAAATCTTCGATCGATGTCGGGCCGTAATAATGTACATTACTGTATATATATATATATATATTGTCAAATAAAGAAAGGGATACAAAAAATCGACTGGACGTATTCTCTACAACATCGGACGATTAGCATAGAGTTTAGGACACCAAAAC